CAGAAGTCTTTTTCAAAGGAAACCTGCGAGCTCATAGGACATTGCCATAACTTTTTGAACAGTACAATTATCCATTGCGGTAAACCGTATACCAATCTTCTTTGACAAAGGGGACCAACCTCTAGATGCTTTTTTCGTACTCAGTTGCTGTTTATTTTTAGCATGCCCTTGTAGTTTCAAGTCGCTAGACCGAACGCTCAGGCTATAACATTAGGTGGAATCGTCTCGGTTATCGCCAATGCTAGTTTAACCATCCTGGCTTCCAAGGAAAGTTGTCATTAGGTATACGTATTCCTGGGATATGGCATATACGGAACCAACCGTCTCGCCCACCCCATGGGTGTGAGTTTTTTTGTCTGTCATTCCAGTAGGTAATTTTTTAAAATCAATTTTAAACGTCAACTGCTAGCTATAATCATACGAGCAAAAATATCCAAATTACCGAGGACGCTTTGAGTAGCAGAGCAATGTCCCGTACTGTCACAAGAGCAAAAACAGATGTTGCTCCTGCAGCGGACACTCTACGAAACTTGTCTCCGCCTCCAGTTTGTACTTGGAAGATTAACAGTTGTCAGGATTACTGTTTTCATTAATTAAGGTCAGACTGTATTGACCCCCATCCTATTTTTACCCATTTACAGTCACTGTCGATTCCATAAAATATTAGCCGAATATCTGAAGTGCATTTTCGATCAGAAAAAAAGGTAATGAAGTAGGGTTGCAATATCGATCATCGTGGGTCATGATCCACTGATATTTCTGATGCGCTAAGATGCCGGCTTTTAAATGCACACCCATTTGTCAGCCTTCAAAAACTTCACATAATAAAAGTGACCACCTAAGTATTCTTCATTTTCTAAACTTATTTTTGGTGCCCTTCTAAATGGTAATATATTGCATAGAAGATCTAGGCACATCTTTTTTCTTGGATACTACTTTGCTAGTAATTCCTGTCTTCGTTCACGAGTTTTCCAATTTCTGAATAAGTTTGAGTTCGATCTTTCGTTGCATTTGCGTTTAGGGTCTTCAGTATAAAGAAGGAATAAAGGGAATAACATTCGTGCCTCTGCGTGACCGAGAAGATACCATATTCTGTTCTTTACATTATGTGATACATGTGAACTATGCTATATACTTAATCGGGGCCTTAATAAGCGAGCAAATTAGATGCTATTTAAATGGACATCACACGGCCTTAAAAATTTCCTAATCAGAATATCTAAAAGAAACGAAATCTAGCCGTTATTCGAATATAAAATTTGAAAAGGAATGAGTGACTGCAATATGAGTGCAAAAAAGAATATTCCTATGTATGTTTTTCTGCAAAAACGATCTGGGCTTTTAAGAGAATCGAAAAGCAAAGGAAGGAATACGTAATATTTAAATAGTCAATTTTATCAGGTGTAATTTTCACAGGCGACGCAAAGGCATGCATTCAAAAAGTGACGTCCCGTCGTATCCTAAACATCATGTGACCATGCCAAACAGTGATTAATACTACAAACCCACCTAAGTACATTACAGCTGAAATTTAATGAGCGCGGTCACTGCCTGTACGTGAAATACAAGACCCTCTCCTATCATGAGTTGGGAACGTAGGGCGTGCCAAACACTGCGCCTACGTCCACTTCCGATTTTCCTGCTTTTGTCTTGTCACCAACGAACTGTGGGTGGTGGGAAAATACGGTTTAGATAGATGCATTACAAGTATTCTTCCTGATAAAACAGATTCTCGTGCAATTCACTACCGAGCTCCACCCATTGAAGTTCTACCCTGGTAGTAAGACTATCTCAAGACGTTAGCCGAGGAGATGGGGCTCAGCAGCTGAACTAACAGAGGTCATCTGTCTACTCGTGCCAGAACGCTGCTGCCTTCACTAGGTAATACACGACAGTTTTGGTGTGAAGACGCCCCGGCTGACTGCCTTCTAGTTTCGCACGCTAGCTGAAGTTATCCGAGGAGTGTCTTCAACTGTTACTGCTCCATCATTCAACAGGCTGGATACCAATAAATCAAAACCATCAGTTCGACTTTCAAAACACTTAATTTATTCGACGTAAACCCTCTAAAAATTTATCTTATGTTTATGAATTCACCCTTATGTTTTGCTCTAACACAGGCGTCCGTCTGAATGCTCCTAATGGCAAAAATGATGGAACGGTAGACGGAATTAAGTATTTCGACTGCGAACCACAGTATGGCCTGTTTACGCGACGTAATCTTCTTCGACCGATCTCGGAATTGGCAATGCAACAATCCGTCACAAGTCCTGTAAGCCATATTGCACTGTTTGATTACCTGTATCTCTTACTGCCCTTCATATGCGTCTTAGACACTCGCTTTATGTGTTTAACTTGCACCTTGCTCTCAGGGACTCACTCCCACTACCCCCGGCGCAGTTTCTGGTGTTGGGCAGCGGCGGTCAAGTGAGAACGCGGAGTCACCAACCATTCCACAAGGTCTACGTTTGGGGGATCGCGTCCAAGTGTCAGGAGGACGCTTGGGCGTCATTCGTTATATTGGACCTACCGACTTCGCCAGTGGTGAATGGGTGGGCGTCGAACTGGATGAAGCCACAGGCAAAAATGATGGCTCTGTTTCTGGCAGAAGGTAACATCGTCTATGAAATTGGCCAGAAAGTTCGTAGTTTCAGTTCTATTTGAGGACTTATTTACCCCACCCTTAAATTCCTTAAAAAGGTACTTCTCCTGTAAACCCAACCACGGCCTCTTTTCTGCGTCCGCGAAAGTAACTCCACTCAATGGAAAATCAACGGGTCGACCCCTCC